CATTTTTGGCCATTTTTGGCCAAAAAGCATGGACTATAGCCCATGGTTTTGATCGATTTTGGGTCATTTTCACACCTTTACTAAAAATTTGCATTATTGATGAAGGATGTAAAATAGGTCATTTTAACCCTAATTCCAAATCGATCAGCCCAAAGATGGTTTTAGAGCTCGATCCGTGAGTTGGATAAGCTAAGAGTTTTTTTTTTTTTTGCACTGACTTTGATCAGCACAGAGGTTGTTTCATGGTTCTATCAGTGAGTTAGCCATGCCTTGACTTAGATCAGCCCAGAGGTTGTTTCANTTGACTTAGATCAGCCCAGAGGTTGTTTCATGGTTCTATCAGTGAGTTAGCCATGCCTTGACTTAGATCAGCCCAGAGGTTGTTACAGGGTTCTATCAGTGAGTTAGCCGTACCCTGACTTAGATTAGCCCAGAGGTTGTTCTATGGTTCTATCTGTGAGTTAGCCGTGCCCTGTGAGTTAGCCGTGCCGTACGTTTATGTTAGCGAGCAAGGACGTTTGCGGTAATTGTGTTCGGCATTTCATGAAAACAACTTACCTTTATGTATCACACGCTCTTGTTCAGTGAAGACAATTTACAATCTAGATGGGAACAATTTACCTCTAGATGGGAACGATATTTTTCTCGCTACAAATCATCTCAATATTGTAAATTTAAAATAATGACAACTCCTCTCTCGCTCCCCAACCCCCCATCCATGCCTTTTTTCTCTCTCTATAGCTCTCTCTCTCTCTCTCTCTCTCTCTCTCTCTCTCTCTCTCTCTTTCTCTCAAGCCAGACAAAATGCATGCCTTAACTACAAGAAATTCTTCGCTAGTAAAGTCTTGTTTCATGGGCGTTGTCTGACGAGAGCAATAGAATACAAACAACATAGAATACGTACATTATGACCTGCACTCAAGGTCGTTTCTTTTTACATTTATTGATTTTATGGTCAGTATTAAGTGGCGCCTTCATCCGATGTAGTTTAGCAGGACATTATCGAAGCACTTAACGCATCTTAATAGACACCATGACGCTAGAATTTTCATTCATGCATCTTTGTGCAATATACTTACCGACAAGTTAAAAACCGCCTAGAAAAGGATGCTATATCTCACCACACATTAGAAAGGCATTCACAATTGAATTCTTACACCAATTTAAGCAATTTTACCATTAATTTATCCTACACGTTATTAGCATAGTTTCTGAACTACACCTTTGCCTCGAGACTTTGTGTTATTGTATTATATATTTGTATTTCCATTAACTATTAGGTTATTATTAATACAGCTAGTCTCAGGGTTGATTCCTCTGTTCGTCTTTTCTGTCCAATATTTATCACTGCAAATGTACATTTTATTCTTCGCCGGTGTAATCTGGTTCTCCGGCCTCGTCGCGTAACCATCTTACCTGGTTTCAATTTGTTTATATCTACCTATATTTAATATATATTTAATATATATTCATTTATGTAATTTCATTAATCCTATGCCATCGCACAATGGACTTTTCTTTACTTCTCGTCATTTCATACCAATGCTTCAACTCCTCTTCACTACTGAAGTTCTGTCCCAGAGCCAATTGCCCGATTTTCAATTTTCGTCCCAGAGTCTTACTAACGCTAGTGACGGTGATAAGAACAGTGACAGAGTTGAGCTCTTGTTCAGGGACATGGAATAAAAACATTTCATTGTATTCTGGATCCACCATGTGACGTCGAGGAGTAGTCCTACCTTTACTAATCAACTCACCATTGCTTCCAATAAGCCGTACACTAACAAACATCTCTTTAGCCTTGGAATCCGTCAACATACCAAGATTCCTAGTCTTGATGACCTCTAGTAGCAGTTTACCTGTTAGTCTTCGATATTCAAGGGATATGAGGATTTCAGGTCGRTCTTCTTCTGATATAGCTAACTCGCCTTCATACATGATAGCTCCAGAGGCACCTTCAGGGACATAAGATCCAGGGGGCTGGAGATCCACTGATGTAGGGACCATTTCAGTATCAAGATTAATGCTCCTGAGTCGTAATACTCCCTCACCTAATAAGTGCCTTGCACCCATGGAACCATGCTCGTATAATCGAAATCTCAAAGACATTTCCTTGATCTTGTCTCGTGGATACAAATAAATAGCGACGGGTTCGTTAAAATCCTTTGGTCTTGCGCGGAAGCTCTGTCGTTTCCCAGGCAACAGCATAACGCTGACCTCTAGCAACTGCTGATCACGCTGTTGGTAKGGCGGGAATTCCATTTTTGATATCGTGACAGATAGCTTCGAGGTGTGGCACGTGAAGTCAAGGATGATGTTCAACTTGCCCACACCTCGTATATGACTATCCGATATACTCTCAGAAGCAGAACTACTACTCGAAAAATGTCGTGTAGGGGTTTGCGATCTACTGGGGGATTCAGGATTCCTGTGTCTCATGAAAGAACCGCCTGGTAGCTCGTTCCTTCTCGTCCCACGTGATAAGATGGTTTCGTCATCTGARTACGTMTCTCCTGCACTTCTAGTCGATGCCCTATGTGAGGCAGTCCGTCCATTCGGTAGAGAGCTGCTACTAGCCCCTAAATTAGCTCCAGAAGTAGCCAATGTATAACGTCTTCGAAACGGCTGTGGACTTCTGGGAACTTGGAGTTTTGAAGATATTTCGTTTCGTTTGCTAATTGGGAATGTGCCCTGCCTGTTCCTCGAGATGCCGAGCTCCCCGGCAAAGTCACTAGCATCTCGTGGATCATCATAGTAATCATCTCTATCTGTGGTTGGTTCTGTTTCGGAGTGAGGAGTTGTGTCTGTTGAYGTTGTTGTTACACTATGATAAAAACAACGTTGTGTGAGACGATACCAAAAACACAGCCGAYAACTATTTACTATTCATATCATTATACACTTCAAACGCTAGACTTTTTCTTCGTAAATAAAGCTTAAAAGATCGAAAAAGATTTAAATCACTTAAAGACACCAGCATGTCTTCGAAGATCAAAACTAGAAACAAAAACGTATCTCATTTATTCTAATTCCCATCAAGAATTAGTCCTTTTTTCGCGAGCAAATTCCCGAAAACTAAGATCCAAGAGATTTACATATATAATATAAAAGAATACTCGGGTTATTCAATTACACTTACAAGGATATACAAAACTATGAATACGTAATTTACTCTCCATCTGGCCGCTCTAACACCTTAAAGACTTGAAACGTGAACGCCACATTAGATTTTAGATAARTCTGACGTTCGCTTCGAAAGTACATAAAAGTCCTAGAAAAATATCTAGTTTCACGAACGACAAATTAAAGAGTAAAATGGAAAAATTGACTTAACGAGTAGGCAAAGAAAAAACAGCTGGATCGAAATGCAAAAGATTCTTATTGAAAAGTTTCTCTGTGATCTTTATTGCATAGGTTTGAACAAAAAAGTCAAATGAATAATTCATATGATGCCAAACGAATGCTCTGTAGCTTCTTTCAGGTTTGCATTAAGGATTTAGTTGTTTAGGTCGTTATTCAAAGAAAAACTACGTCTTTTGTATTATTCTTTGTGATATTGAACCCAAAATAAAGCAGTTCAAGACAGAATAACAAGGAATTAAAGTAAAAATCATAGAAAATAAAATACATTTATAGAATACATCATAATGTCACTCCCTACTCACTGATYAGCGTTGGCTTGCGATGTAGTCGTTCCTTCAGCATCTGGGTTGATAATACTTCGAAAAAACCCTCCGATCTTAGCTGTAAAATCCATCCTAGTCTTACGGCGTAGCTAGAAACAAAGTCTCTTTTAGCGTTCCCATRGAGTCGCCTCGGTTCTTCGGATCCTTGACCAGCGAGACTGTCAAAAAATGAATTTTATTTCAATTAGATTGAGGCACGCTATAGAGTGTGTGTTTGAAAGTAAAGGTAGTCTATACTATAGGTTACTGGTTACAAAATATACTACACGACAGTAAACCTCGTAGTAAAAAATAATCAAATATTTGAAAATATTAAACGAAGGAAGACGCCGAACTGGAATCAAAACATTTGATCGTATTGTCATTCCAAAAAAGATCTCAATAAATGATTACACCTTAGCTTTAAAGATTTTCACAAGGCCTAAACTGAATAGGAAGAAAAATGAACGTACTAAGATGTGACTGCTTGGATTCTGTATAATGGGAAAGAGTATTTCTTGGAATTCGCTTGACCAAAGTAATTGAATTATAGAAATTCATTCCACATTATTCCAGAGACGAATATAAATTGCTAGTAGTGGAAGCTTAACTTACTATGGATGTTGAACGCAGACTCAATCGAACRAGCTTGATCAGTAGACACCAAATCGAGCTGCGATGATCGCGATGATCTCTCCCCGTAAAGGGAGGTTACGAAAAAAACGAGTAATTCTCTCCCAAAGGGATTTTTTGTTGATTCAAAGCGCTAATACAGGCAGGAACAGACTAAGAACAATTAATTATCTGCCTAGCTAGCTTCTTGCTGACCGAAGGCACCTGCAAAACAGGGCTCGGTGTATTTACATATATTGTGTGTCGTCACATTTGACTTGATTCAAGAGCGCACATTTGGTCAAACCATGAAAGCGGCCATCGCATTGCGTAARCATACTCACCATTTGCTCCCAGAATTCTCTTGAAAATCCAAAAAAGCCGGATTTCTGGTAATTCTTTTACCGACGCGCGGTGTTTTTAAAAAATGCCGATCGCTTCGACACGTTTACCGCGAGTAGAAAAATATTTATTACTTATGAACATGAATCATATCGTCATTTGTTCATGTTTATGCAAGTTCTCCTAAATATACCATTTCTAGTTGATGCTGTTCASTTATTAATATCGAGGCTAAAGTGAGTTGAATTTGTGCTCTTCCTTTCGTCTTACGAGATCACTTTTCCAAGCATGATTCTCTGAATGTTTTCAATGGTCTTTTTTTTTTTTGATAGATTTATCCTACTTAGACAAAGCTTTCTCCTTGTATAAGTATTCCACGAGAAAGATGACATCTGGAACAAATATGAATTAATGAATTAACTCGAGGTATAGTTTTTATAAGCTATACCTGAGTCTCTGTTGTAGAATCGTCGTTGCCGTAGGAACGGGGAGATGCTGTGTTGTTAACAATGACTCGTAAATTGACTTATAATGAGAAGTTTTTGAACTGGGTTAGGATTTTGAATTTCTGCTGAAATGTTTCGTAGACGTTCAGAGTTTTCAGGTTATTTTCGCTCGTAGGATTGTTATTTTATGAATCATTTGATTATTTCATGCCTTTCTTTTATTGCAATCATTTATTCCTTCATTCCTGATAAATTAATGTATTGTTCACTCTATTCATCCATCCATCTATCCATGCATTCATATTTCATTCGTTCAAATAATATATTAAGAATTCATTCATTTACTCATATCGATTTATTTCATTTTATTGAAT